ATTGGCCGTTAGAAGAGTCCCTGTATAACTAAGATACCAGTGTTTGCTTATACATAACAATACGTAGCACTTGTGCCACAACATCAATCACACACTCCTCTCACTTGCCTTGTCCTTTTTCTTAAGGGCATTATTTAACAGAGAATCAATTAGAAAGCCTGACGTATGTGGGATAATTGGAGCAGATCTGTCAAACTGAGGGGCTCACACAGTCCCTCTGTGTGTCAGCTGAACTGAATCTGAGGCGTGCCCCAGAAAAAACTCACAACACCAGCACGCACTTCATGATCTGTTGTTTGGGAGGAAATGGAGAAAAGCTTCCTGCTTCGGATGAAATGCTCAGCAGAGAGCTTAATGTTTCCTTAATGTCTCTGATGAGTCACGTATTCACACTAACTACATCAGTAATCTGCAATCTCAATTTGTGCCCATCCCATCCTGGCAAATAAAGGCACATGGCATTGATGTAAAAATCATATAGAAAGTGCAGTACAATATAGCTTCACTTATATAGCCATTAGGTTTTCAGTATTCAAATAAAAATGAAATACCCCCAGCCCAGAGATGAAGGTGGGATAGCTTTTATTGTCTCAGGATGTATTTATTGCATTGCCCAACCCCACTTAATATGAACTTGCTGAAGCCTTACGATCTAAAACTTTGATAAATACCATCATTTTTTATTCAGAACTTGTTTGCTGTAAGTTAGCTAAAATACATGATTAAGTGTCCTGATATATGAAAGTAACGGATGTTGCTGAAACTGATTTCAGTTTCTAAAATGGCCATTAAAATCCAATCCATAGTATTTTAATGACTTGCTCGTAGTCATTTTCACACCTGTTCAGGTAATTTTTAAGATTAAGAGTCACAGCTGGTAATGTTGCACAGAGGTATGAGATACTGTTGCTATGGTTACCTGCAGTGTAATATGGGCTACCTGGAAACAAGGTTCAGCTGTTGATCTGACCTACTAGTGTGAGGTTTTCTATTATAAGCTTTTAACAGTTTGTCAAAGCTAGATTCTGTCAGGTTTTAAAATATGTTTTTGTCCAAATGCTTTTTATGAACAACATTACTTTAAAGGTCCCCTATTATACTATTTTTCATCAATATAGGTCTTGGATATATATACAAAACATGTCTCGAAATACCAAACAGATCATGCATCCCATAAACCCCTCTGTTTCTGCCCTGTTGCAAAAGTGCTGATTCTCTGTCTTTTACTTTAGATGAAAATAAGGAGCCACTCCCCACGCCTCTCTGAGAGATATTTGGTTACATTTCGGCTTTGTTGTCTATTGGCTTCTTAAAAACAGCGGGGATAAGCTGTTGAACTGTTCCCACACAGCCGATTTAAACGAAGCAGGTGGGTCTTCTAGCTCCTGTGTGTTATCTGAAATCGCCATACTAACTTTTCTTCTTCTTGTATTTTGTTCGTTTTGTTGTGTTTTCTTCTTGTTCTTCATTTGTTGTTTAAGGGCGGCTGGCAAACAGCTTTTAGGCGCAATACCGCTCCCTGGATTATATATAGATACTGCCCTGAGTGACAGACTTTTATCCCACTCATAAAAAAGGCGTATTCGTCGTGTGACTGCATGTGCCGAACCGTGACGTCCAAACCGTGACGGTTCGGTACGGATACCGTTACACCACTAATGTTTATGTATAAAAGACATGAAAAAGTGGATTTTGCATAATAGGTCCCCTTTAACAAATATATATTATACCCATAATAATTACTACAAGGCAGTATCTTGTTGTTCTGTGTTTGGTCTCGATCTTGTTGTATGTGACAGATTTCCTTCTTAACCAGGTCTTAAGTTACTAAAACCGACTAGTCATATTGTTGGAGGTACTTGATCTGCCTCTGTGGCATGTGACAAACGAATGGGAGCTGTAGTAGGTGAGAAAATGTTGGCAAGCTTCCTGATGCAGTTAAACATGGTGAAAACTACAAATCCCATTTGCCCTTGGAACTGCTGCAGAGATGGTGTATGTGTGTGAAGCCCTCCCACTGTATATCCGTCAGTCCTTGAGGCAGCTCTGAGTGAACGTAATTGAATGCATATTTTTGGAAGTGCTGCTCGTTTTGCACTTGTTGTCTCAGCCCAGCTCCGTACATGTGAGTCCAAATCCGCTGCAGAGAGGGTGAGGATCTATGCACTTCTTTGTTTGGTATATTTTATCATATATAGAATAAGATGTGAAGGGCATTATGCTACGATGCTAACTGCATGAATGTTTGCCTTTTTTTAATTTCTTTGGTTCATGATGAAGAAACAGGAGGAATGTGTGATATGTATGTTGAGAGCTAATGGAGGCAAAGTGAGCCTCTGTTTATCTGAGCTAAAGCTCTCAGCAGCCAGATTGCATCTTTATTGCTCCTCGAAGTGTTGTTAAATAGCAACCACATGGACAGAGATCACATTAGAGGGGGTGGATATTGTTCTTATACAGTTTCCGTAATGAGCGGACTTTCTAAATCGCCCTGATTCTGAACTACATTTCCGAAGGGACAGTAGGCACACAGTGAATCACAGTAGCAGGGTCATCCTGTGTACAGTGAGTTTAACCTGTCAAGTACCTGAAGAATAAGGGATGTCTGTTGCATGTCCTTCGGTACAGTTGAGCTTTGCTGTTATCAGAACATATCCAAAATAAATTCACAGCAATCCATATTTTCTTAACTTTCATTAAGTTTATTTTCTTAAATGCCCTACAGGTCTAAGATAAGATGTGGTAATCTTTCATACAATATCATTTTTTACTCATTCAAGATCACCTACAGACTAACTCCTCTCGTGAATTACAAACTTCAGGCAATAATGGTTGTTTTTCTAAAATATGGCATTCTTGTTTAAATCGTTTCAACTTTTATGGTACAAGAAAGCGACAGCTGAATGAACATTGTGGACATTAATATGTTTTCAAAATGTGAATAAAAGCCATTGGAAGAAGACAATCAAATTGGTTTATTGGGGCCGTAATAATTGGCTGCTTTATTGTTGAGACGGCAATAAACGTATTTTTTTTCCTGGAATGGGACAGGTCCCCCCTTGTGACCAACTACTTTCTGGCTTTTATGAACAACCCGTTAATTATAGAAAGGTGCAAATGGGATTATGATTCACCAGAACTAACTATAGTATGATCATGCTTGAAGTGAATCTGCACTTTCCTTGTTGTTCTGAGTTTGATTCTTTATGGATTATGCACTTATTGTAAGTGGCTTTGGATAAAAGTGTCAGCTAAATGATATGTAATGTAAATGATGTTATTTATTTGGTGGAAAAACGTAAAACTAGACAGCCTGGACTGCCAAATGTTAACCTTTTTACAAGACACATTCAGCTTTCCTTCTTTACTCCCCAGCAGATAGGCTTTGATTATTGACACGCTTCAAAGGGTTATCAACTTAAATTATATATTTATAGTTATACATCAACTATCTGCTGAAATTGATAATTTTAGATATGCTGTGGACTGCTCCTTGAAGCATTTTACTCACTAGACTTACATTATACTGTACTAATACATATCTGGATTGACAGAACAGTACAAAAAACAAGACATAATACAATCTTAATTAAGTAATAAAAGAGTGTACAGTGTTTCAAAGTTAAGGGGCTCAATGTACCCAGTTACATCTTTCAGTTGTATTCCACAGAAATAGGTATACAGGCAGGATTTATAAATGGAATCAAAAGTACAAGGCAATACTTGTGTATTTGGGAGTACAAATACTGTACTGTATGGTCTTGCTCAAAATGTTTACCAACCCAGGTTGTCTGATCAAAATAGATCAAAAGTTGAATTTACATTTCAATCATTAGATAAACCAGAATCGGACTGGATGGTTAGCCAATTCTTTGTTATGGCAGACCTAAACTTGATAACTACTAATTATACAGTAAAACCCAGTTTGAACAATGTTCTGACTTATATATTGTACTTTTGAAATGAATGAAAAACATTTAATTTTTTTGTAATGTTTGCATACTAATAAGCTATTCAAAATAGTGTTCTAAAGTAAAAATCAATAACCTTTTCTGTATCAGGACAAACATTTAAACTATGCATACTTAGAGATAAAATATTCTCTGGTGAACAAAACAAAGAAACGTTGTTCTCTGTTTATCTTATACATCTTATCAAATGTGTTCTTTACATGTCCTTACATTATACTTGCAATTGTTTACATTTGAAAGAAATGTGCATAAATCAACATGCATGAAATATTACAACTCTGGTTAAGATTAGGGAATGCGTTTCCAGACAAAGGCCTGACCATATAGAGCGTTCAGATCAATATGCTCATCATCAAATCAAATTGTGTGTTTAACCTTTGACCCCTTGTCCATCCGAATTGTCCATGTGTTGGTCGTTAAAATCAATATGAGGGTATGTCTCTCTGTCTGTGAGTTCCCTCAGTGTTACAGCCTTCCCTTTTCTCCATGGTCATCTCAACCAATGAGATGGACTCTTTGGGTGTGGTTTCCTGTGGTTTGCATTAAGTGCTAATCTGTTCTTCAGTCAGCTTAAGCACTGTTTTTTAATTGTGTTAAAAAAAGTCTTGCATGCACCCTGTGAATTACAAGCTCAGAAAAACATTGTGTATTTCCCTTCGAGCTCAGATGCAATTCCCACTGTAAATAATGATATGTGCTTACGTGTGGAGTGTGAAGGTGACTTAATGAACCTTGGTGGAAAAGTCCTGACAGTAGGCTTTAACTGTGCAGTAACAAAGCAGCTGCTAAAATACAAGATCTGATATCAACTTGCTTACATCGGATCAAATCTGGCTCCTTCTTGCTGCACAGGCCAAGTTGGATTCTTCCACAAGGTCATACAAATGGTTGCATTCTGACTCAAAATGCAAGTGAATGCAAATAAATCGCAGTGGCATCCTTTCATTGCTCTTTCCTTCCTTTTCCTGCTTTCTCAACCCCACTCTCTCCTAACCTTTGCCTATCTGTGTTCATATGTGCTACGTCCAGGTATCAAGAGGAGTACAGTATGGACTCAACCAATGCCCAGTAAGTTCCTGGCAGCATCATGCTTGCATGGCATGGATTGTGTCTGCTAAAATAACTGTACACAGGGACTGATTTACAGGCACTGAAGCATACTGTATGTTGCAGTGTCACACGTTGGATTTGCAAAGACTGGATGTGGACATAATGCCTTGGAGGAACCATCACCATTATCTGTAAAGTAGGCAATGATTGTCATGATAATGGCGCAGAATGCTTAAAATAACCCATTCATATGTAGCTACCTTTTCAACTATTCTTGTGGAAGACTAAATGAAACCTTTAACTAACACAGATTTGTCACATTCGATCCAACCACAGTAAATGGTGAAAAGGCAGCTTGTGTGTTTCAATCAACTTTTTCCAGGGGTATTATCTGTTCCCTGACTGAATGTGCACACTCTGTCACTGTTGTCAATGTAAGTACTTGAGCTCGAAGCATTACTCATGTGAGCGGAGATGAGATCAGACTACAATCTCTGGGTTATGTTGGTTAAATAGGTCCTGAAAACAGCAACATGTCAATTGTTTGTGCTGTACTCACTGTGTACTGTGCATGCTGCTGAGTCACCCTCCATACACAAGTCTATAATAGAGTATCAAGACTTTATTATATTCAAGCTGCTGAGATGTGGTGATAAAAATGATTGGAGCATGGAGGATGCATCTTCAACTGACAGTGAAAGAATGCTTAAGTTGGATAGTGATTTCCCATTCAGTTTTTTGTTAACCCTTCAGCCTGAAGTACTAAGCTACATGTTGCTGTTCCACTAACTATATATATATGTTGCTTGATTTGAAAGAGATGGCTCCAGAAAGCTAATCCTTAATACATTGAGCAAAATATAGTATATTATGCCATATACATTTATTTATGGCAGAATTGTTTCTGGACTTAATTAGAATGAACTTTGAATGAACTTCTTGCAAGACAAATGAGTGTGAAAGTGAAATGGATTATTTAGCCATTGAAAACAAGAAATCCTGTCTTTTCTCCAAGGGCATTTTGAAGTCTTTTAATGGGTTGCACTGATTATACTATTGATGAAGCCACCAAATCCCCAAAGTGCCTTGAGCTAAAACAGGATGAACGCATAACAACTATCACAACCAACTGTGATAGGCTAAGACATCTGTCAATCAAGCAAAAATGCCTCTCTTTAATCTGTAAATCGGTGAAAAAGAGTAATTGCTTGTTTCCTGACCATCATTAATTCAATACATGACGGCGGTTCTACAAGTCAAACGCTGGAAAGGTTCCACCACTTGGTTGTTGTGTGTAGCCACTTGATTGAAGGGCTGGGGCAGTGATATTGTTGGAAAGTGAATTGTAATCCTTGGGGATGTGCTTAATGGAGATCTACACGCCTGTGTCGACATGAGAGTGGGCCCTTCATCAATGTTATTCTCTCTTGTGATGATGATAAATCAAGGCTGACAGAGCATACTGTGTCTGCATTATTTGGTTTGTATCTGTAAAACAACATCACCAACACCTAAAATACCTGACATGGCATTGAGATACTTCCTGTGGGTGCAGAAAAAAAAAGTTTAACTCATGTGACAACACAACAGGAAATAGCGTGTTGATGTTTCAGAAAACCCCAACGTTTGGTGTCAGCTCATCAGAATCAAACGGCAGCACAAGCATCTCAGCATGTTCAGCAACAGCACATTATGAAACCCACAACCTCATTTCAGTCAAGGGTGCTCAAGGTGCAATCTCAGTGGGTGCTCAAACCACCTCATGGTTCCTCTAGTGAGAAGTATCAGAAGGAGGATTTTTCTGTCTAACACAATGTGAGAAATGTTGCCTTTTTATATAGAAATGCTTTATTTGACACTGCATGGCATTGATTCATAATGCTGCTACCTTTTTTGAAGTCTTTTCAAATGGCATTCTATATCTGCTGTCTTTGTAAAGAGGTGTGTGAAACGCTGGTGTGATATGACCACTTTTCATCCTTTTTAGGATCTTCAGAAAAGGACATTTTCTTTATTATCAAAAGTAAAGTAAACTAGAGAATGCAATTCCTGAAGAAATTGCTAGTGGGAATGCTTTATGCTGAAAGCTGACGCTAAACTGCTATGCTGAAATGTAATGTGTAAGAAGAAAGTGAAGAATTTAGATTGAAATGATTAGGGATGCACGATATTGGTTTTTTGAAACCGATACCGATAACTTCCTGCTTCTCAAGACCGATACCGATAATACAAAAAAATGTACGCCACTAATTATTTTAACGCGATTAACGCATGTGTATTTTTTTTCCTTGGCCGCCCGGTAGTTTCAGAGCGCATGGAGTTTAAAATACCATCTACAAGCTGATGCTGACAGCCCCGCTCCCGCCGCCCGCTTGTGGCAGACCACACTTCCACGCTCACCGGCAGGCACCGACTGGCCATCTGGAGGACCGGGAGGGTGTGTGTATGTGTGGCCCGAGCGAGCGAGAGAGAGACCTTACGTGCATTGTTGTTGTTAGCATCTGGTGCTAGCTAGCTGCGCTAACGGATATAAGGAGCTGTTTAAATGAAAACAGAGGAGCGACATTTCGCCAAAACTGCGCCGAGCACTTGACTTTATGCAGGAAGCCAGACAGTGGGACATTGTACGAAAAGTCAGCACACTCAGCACGGATAGTGCGCAACATGATTGCAGCTCCGGTTCGAACATATGCCTTGAGTTGCACATAGCTCCAACGCCCATACCACCGACGACATGTTTGTTTACTGTCCTGGCTTCACGGCCGCACACCATTTACGTCACAGCCAGGCATGAGTTAGGGAGCGCTGGATTTGTGAAGAACTCCCCTCTTCCTAAACCACTAATACCACAGTACTGGCAAACGGGAGGAGCCGAGTGAAAAACAAGCGCCCCTCATCCCAATCCACCCACACCGCAGTATTTTTTATTTATTTTTTATTATCGGGGCTATTAATACTGGTATCGGGTTTATCGGGATGACGTCATAATTCCTAATATCGGACCGATAATTATCGTGCATCCCTAGAAATTATACATGAACACTGGGGGCTTGAATGTGTGATGAGAGAAGAAAAGAAAGTAAAAAGGCTTGGAAAAGCAGCAGAATATTTGAACTGCAAACTTTTGAACTAACTTGATGGCGAATGATCTGTCGCCATGCCAACGGCATTTGATGACATCCCATAATACGCTTAGATGCGTTGATGGCTGCATCGTTACCAAACCTGTGAAGTTTTGGGCCGTTTGGAGCATTTTATGAGAAAACCGCCACCGTTTTATGGTGAGGGATGCGTTTCCATGGCAACAGCCTATGGTGAGATCTCAGATTTGGCGTAAAGCTGTTGAGGCATGGACCGGTGATACAGTGGGGCAAAAAAGTATTTAGTCAGCCACCAATTGTGCAAGTTCTCCCACTTAAAAAGATGAGAGAGGCCTGTAATTTTCATCCTAGGTACACTTCAACTATGAGAGACAGAATGGGGGGAAAGAATCCAGGAAATCACATTGTAGGATTTTTGATGAATTAATTGGTAAATTCCTCGGTAAAATAAGTATTTGGTCACCTACAAACAAACAAGATTTCTGGCTCTCACAGACCTGTAACTTCTTCTTTAAGAGCCTCCTCTGTCCTCCAAGCGTTAACTGTATTAATGGCACCTGTTTGAACTCGTTATCAGTATAAAAGACACCTGTCCACAACCTCAAACAGTCACTCTCCAAACTCCACTATGGCCAAGACCAAAGAGCTGTCAAAGGACACCAGAAACAAAATTGTAGACCTGCACCAGGCTGGGAAGACTGAATCTGCAATAGGTAAGCAGCTTGGTGTGAAGAAAATAAAACTGTGGGAGCAATTATTAGAAAATGGAAGACATACAAGACCACTGATAATCTCCCTCGATCTGGGGCTCCACGCAAGATCTCACCCCGTGGGGTCAAAATGATCACAAGAACGGTGAGCAAAAATCCCAGAACCACACGGGGGGACCTAGTCAATGACCTGCAGAGAGCTGGGACCAAAGTAACAAAAGCTAGTAACACACTACGCCGCCAGGGACACAAATCCTGCAGTGCCAAACGTGTCCGCTGCTTAAGCCAGTACATGTCCAGGCCCATCTGAAGTTTGCTAGAGAGCATTTAGATGATCCAGAAGAGGATTGGGAGAATGTCATATGGTCAGATGAAACCAAAATAGAACTTTTTGGTAAAAACTCAACTAGACGTGTTTGGAGGAGAAAGAATGCTGAGTTGCATCCAAAGAACACCATACCTACTGTGAAACATGGGGGTGGAAACATCATGCTTTGGGGCTGTTTCTCTGCAAAGGGACCAGGACGACTGATCCGTGTAAAGGAAAGAATCAATGGGGCCATGTATCGTGAGATTTTGAGTGACAACCTCCTTCCATCAGCAAGGGCATTGAAGATGAAACGTGGCTGGGTCTTTCAGCATGACAATGATCCCAAACACACCGCCCGGGCAACGAAGGAGTGGCTTCGTAAGAAGCATTTCAAGGTCTTGGAGTGGCCTAGCCAGTCTCCAGATCTCAACCCCATAGAAAATCTTTGGAGGGAGTTGAAAATCCGTGTTGCCCAGCGACAGCCCCAAAATCATTCACGTTGTGAATCGCGCTAAGCTCTGTGGAGGTGTGATTTCCTTGTTTAGCGATACACCGCAAAACACAGCCAAACTCACCCTGAGCACACACAAAGTCACAGCCGAAGTAAAAACAATAAGTGTGGCTTGATATTGAGTAAGAAAAAGGTTGATAAACGGTGTGAGAATGGGTCTGCAGAGAGAATTTCGCCGCGATCCCAACTGTCTGTTATCAGCCAGGGAGGAGATCATGATGTACCCGGAAGAATCAAATGGATGATGACGTTTCACCAACGAGGCGTTTTGGGGAGGTATTTTCTGTATTAGAGTATACTCGCTACATGGTGTACTTTGAGGGTTTTGACTCTGCACACCGTTTACATGCATAAAAACCTTCATAACACACAAGGGGACGGGTAAT